AACTAATTTTACTCATTCTTACAGAACAAACTAAGAAAAAATGTCAATTTTGAATATAAATCCACACTAAAGTAAACTCTCCAAGGCATGGGATTTGCTCCCTGTAATTAGCTCAAAATTTATTATTCAAATTTTCTAGAACTTTATTCAGCATTTAAGTGATGCCAATTTCAACATATCCTGAGATCTCTATTATGAGAATGAGATCCAAATAAAGATTAAGTATGTGTAGTCTATGACACAAGGTATATTTACTCCTGCCTCTTTGTACCTTCAAATGCTCAGTTTTTTTGCAAGGTTAGTTTTTGCATGGATCAGTTTCTCAAACCACTTCACAGGGAAAGCTCAAGACAGGGCAGGAATAAACAGATAATGTGGCGAAGGAACAGATTTCTTCTTCCAGTTTATGCCATCCTAAATTGTCAGATGAACTTGACAGTCTACTTTTATCTTTCCCTCTATATGTTGGTTATTTGCCGCTCATAAATCTGACTGATTCTAGCACAAGTCTTAGTCAAAATGAGTTTCAACACACCCCAAACAGACCCACAACACACAAGACCCCTCTTGTACTCTCTTCAGCTGCTGCCTGGCATTTAACGTTCAATGCCACCTATATTTCAACACAGAAAATGTAAAACAGATGATTATATGCAGAATTAAAGGAATATCTTTTATTGCCAGACTGCAGGGACTGGAGCATCTCTCATACTAAGAAAGGCTGAGAGAGCTCAGACTGTTTAGCCTGGAGAAGTGAAGGCTCATGGGGGATCTCATCAATGTGAACAAATACCTGATGGGAGGGTGTAAAGAAGATGGAACCAGGCTCTTTTCAGTGGTGCCCAGTGATGGGACCAGAGGCAACGGGCACAAACTGAAACAGGAGGTTCTGTCCAAACATCAGGAAACACTTTTTTACTATGAGGGTAAATGAACACTGGAACAAGTTGTCCAGAGAGGTTGTGGAGTTTCTGTCCTTGGGGATATTTAAAAGCCATCTGGACATCATCCTGGGCTACCAGATCTAGGTAGACCTGCTTGAACAAGGAGGTTGAAGAAGATGACCTCCAGGGGTCCCTTCCAACCTCAATTATTCTGTGATTCTGCTGGTATAGCATGTCATTATATTTGCATGTATAATGACAATTATTGTAGCTAATATCCTGATTTGCTTTGGCTTGGATGCTTTCTAAATATTTTCTGTGGTACAGATGTCAATATCCATTCCAGAATTGAGAATATAAAATCTAAAAATTGTCATGAATGTTATCACTTATCCAAAGAAAACAAAGTTATCATTGCCCCAAAGATTTGCTAGTTGTCTCAGGTTAGGGCACATAGATATCTCCAATTCTGTTGTCACAAAGGTGTCTGATACCTGTATGAGTAATACCTTGTTGTCATCTTGAAAAAAAGAGAAGTTAATGAAGCTGGACTCTCTCTCCACTTACAAAAGACCACATTCTTCAAGGCAATATGAATAGTGTTCCTACTATCCTCAACAAAACTTCAATCACTTATTCCACATAAAATGTTTCACTTCTCTCTGAATGACGTTTTCCTCCTCTCTAAGCATGCCAAGTAGATAAACCAACGTTATTTGGTGTGGAATAAGTTTTATTACAGATAGGATGAGACAACTGAACTTTGACTTGATAAGAATCAAAGAGAGACAACTGGAGCCTATGAGCACAGCATCATAACTGTTTTTCCTTTCTTTTTTTCTTTTTTTTGAGGGGGGGAGGCTTGCGGCTGATTTTATATCTTGTTACGTGTCTTTTTTAGAAGATCTGTATCTCTTGAATTATGCATGAGTTCTAATTCTAAACCTGATTCTAACCATGAGAATCCAAGATTTTTCTCACCAGGGCCCAGTGGAATCGCTGTTGAGGAGATACTGACTGTAACAATAGAAACATGCCAGGAAAGAATGGAGCAATTGAAACCCAAACCTGTATTCAAAGGATTAATTAATTTTTGATTTGTCATTGAGAATTTAAATTACAATTCTAGCTTTATCATTTTCTAAATTTTATTTTTAAAATTATTTTATTTTTGCATTACCTAGTCCTGCATTCATATAATTTCAAGATTATGCCTGCTTTTAGTTGTTTATAAAAGTGTATTTTTTATTTTTCTTGTCACATTGGAATGTGACTTAAATGTGTTTAAAGACTCTGAAAGCTCACAACAAATGAAAAGGAGTGAAATGCAATCTTTAGAATTTTATTATTATTAAGCTAATCCCATGAATGTCTGCATGGTTGATTTTCAAATATTTAGAGTTGTCAGTATGTGTACACATAATGTATTGGTGTTGATTGCCATATTATAAGAACATAATTTTCAATACAATTGTTCCTGCTCTACACAGACAATCAAAGATATCTGTAAGAATCAGATACTTCCTTATTAACACAAGCTAAAAAATGATGAATAAAAAATATTTTCTCAAAGTAAAGAAAATCTGAATATTAGGAATGTACATGGAGGCTTGGGTTGGCAAGATGTTGTCCATACTGCACAACATAAATCTTAATTTGGAAACATCAAATTCTGTATAGTGACAGCTATTGGACTTGGATTAAATACCTCACTACATACAATATGGGCTCCCTTAATAATGTGGTATGTAGCAATGTCTTAACAAATTTGTCTTCAAATCAGCTTCTTCCTTGCTCTTCTGAATTTGTGTTAGTGGAACTCCATTGGAAATCAGTGTTATTTGGGCACCTGTCTTCCTTCTAGACATTTGACAATTGTGGTATTAAAATGTTCTTCCTCTCTGATGTATAACAACTGGTTTAGAGTGTAAGCTCCATGGGGCAGGGACTTGAACAGAGGCTAGCATCTTTCAGATGTTATTGGCGTATAAATACCTATTAATTAATATGCAATGATTTTAGAACAGTTTCTTGTTAAGTATAAATTAATTATCAAAATAATAGTTTCTTTAAAGAAATCCCCAAAGTATCTTCAGAAATACAAACTAACACACATGGTCTGCATGGATTTTGCTTAATGGTAAAGTACAATCCTTGATAAATGAGATAAACAGAAGCTGATGTGAAAAATGAATACAATTTATCCTAAGGCTGTGCTTCTGACTTTCTAACAATTCAAATACCTTTTTCTGTAAGTACCTCTGAATTGTAAATATATTTCCTATTTTGCATCCTGTAAAAATTGAGCTCTTCTAAATTATATTCAGATAGACATATAGCAAAAGTATTAACTCAAAATAGGTCTTTTTTACTCACATGCCTAGAGAACAATTCCAAAATAAACGCTTGCAATTTTTCTCCACCTGTATCATTGACTGGACATATTTGGTTATCAGTTTCCCAGGATCATTCAGTAAATAAGTGGCTACAAGCCACAGTATTTTTATTTTTATATAATTACATTAAAATAAAAAGAGTAACTGCGTATTAAGCTATTTCTAGTGGTGTGATAGATACTGAAGATAGGGTGACACCACAGAAGCTTTTCATTTATCATATTTTCTTTTGCTTATTGTTGAATGCTGGCTTTCTCTGAGGATGTATAAATTTCATGTGGTAATGCCTTATAGCTCATAAAATTTTTGTGTATATGTGTGTTAAAACATTGTTTGTTATTCACAGCATTGATTTTCATTAGCAATCATAGAAACATTTCAACTCGGTTAAAGGTACTAATACTTCATTTGTAAATCATAGCTTGGCTTGTGTGGACGGAAGCCTTATGTCAGAAATGCGTTAATTTTCTTGGTTAGCAAGGGATATGACTTGTGAATATCTTTATACAATAAGAGTAAGTGCACAGACCTTTATTGTGCTGAATTAATATAGCAACAAGTGAATGCATTTTGTGTATATTTTTATTCTGTGCAGGAGTATTTACATGTTTGTAGAAAAACAGTGCAGAGGATAAACAGGAATGAATTAATAGACTGCTCTAATAACAAAAAGACACATCCTGTTCACATATTCATAAGACTGGTAGCATCAGTTCATGTTTTGTCCTTAGAAATATGCAACAGATGTAGCCGGTCCCAGGGAAAGCATATGACCCATTAACATCATTGACAGCAGATAACAGGATTTAACAGAAAGCAAGAGAGGGGCATAACAATGTGTCAGGCCCATTCCTTAACACAGCGGGCAGAGGCACATGGTGGCCAGTATTCACATGGAAGTCAGTAGCAGAAATGTTTATAGGTTCTAAAAGAAGTAGAGGTAAGATGATCCTAGACAATTTAGAAAAGCTCACACATAATGACCACATTGTAAGCAGCTCACTTTTATAGTTCTAAACAAAATTAGCATGTTACCATGGTACCCAAGAGGAATCCCATGGTTCTACTTCAGGCAGATTCCCATTGTTCTGAGCAAGAGATGTGCAAGGACCATAGCAAGGAGCCCTGTGGTTTGCTGAACTAATCATCTGCCCATGTAAATCTGCATAACATTATTGTTTCAGTGGCACATGCCTAAGTCCCACACTTACAAGCAGAATACATTTAACCTGAAAATCCTATTGAAATGCCCTCTTTCTGAAAAATACCTGATCTTGTTAAGGTAGCTCTCATTTTACAAATGTCACAGTTATTTCAGAAAAAAACTCACTTATACTAAATGCAATTCTTTTATAACTGATAAAAATAAAATGGGCATATTACTTCAAATAGGTGAAATTCAGTCAAGACTCTCCCTCTAGCTGTCTTATTTGTTATTTTGCTGCAGTATATTCATTCATATACCTTGATACAATTTCTTGCAATGAAAGAAATCTTAATAACAGATGTTGTAAACACTACATACATTAGTATGTAAATTAGTATTCACATTGTATGAGCTTTGCAATATAGATTACACTATGCACTTGTTGAATTGTGGCTCTTAGAGCCACCTCTATTTGTATATAACTTTTTTCTTTCTGTCCAGGAAGAAAACACAAAAATTATATGAAGCAACTTTCATGGCATTCACATGAAATCCTTGTGCTTGTCTTTCCAGGTCCTGAAGGGGTTTCCAGAATGCTTACAAGCTGACATTTGTCTGCACCTCAACCAAAATTTGCTTCAGAATTGCAAAGCTTTCCGGGGGGCCAGTAAAGGCTGTCTTCGAGCTTTGGCTATGAAATTTAAGACAACACATGCACCCCCTGGAGACACTTTAGTGCACTGTGGAGATGTTCTCACTGCTCTTTACTTTGTGTCAAGAGGCTCCATTGAAATCCTTAAGAGTGACATTGTTGTAGCCATTCTTGGTAAGTAGATTACTACAAGGCATGTTAAAAGAGTCAGGGGATTGAAAAGAAATATCCGTTGCTCCTGAGGAAGAAAAATTGTAAACGTTTTACTCACTGTTATTTAAAATCAAGCAGAGAAATAATTTGTTTAAGGAGCAAACTCTACATTACCACAATAATTCATGTGCACCAAAGAGCCCATGTCCTTCCTTGGATATCTAAAATACAAGAGCAGGAGTGAGTCATATTTATCCCTAGATGAGTGGTAAGCTGCAAGTTGAGGCAAGCAGATACCTAATTACTCCAGTTCTGATTTTGCTGCAAGAACCAAAGTCAAGGACACCCTTTTCTTAAACAGTGTATGAGGGTACTGAGACACATAGACTCCCTGTACACTAACTGTAGAAAAACATGTAGCCACTTTAGACATTCAAAATGTCTTCTAGAGGTTTTCAGAAATGTCTGCTTTTGCCCACTGAGCATGTAGAAAACGAAGAGAATAACAGATTAATCTGATCTAGATTGATACCCGAGTGTAATAATACCCTATGTTTCCTATCAACATGTTCTTGTTTGTATAACATGAGGAGTTACCTGGGTTTTTTTCCCAATGAAGATGGCTCAGAACAATGTTCAATCCAGCTGGGAGCTCACCTGCAGCTGGTGATGACTCTTACGTAGAACCAATAAGACATCATTAGCTACAGCAATTTTAAAAGTAAAATAATCAAAACCCTGCCTAAACAAGAACACTGATTTGTTTCTCTAATTTAATATCAGGTAATAAGAACACAAAGAATAATTAAGTAGATGAGGAAGGATTTTGCTGTACGAAAACCTGCATCAGCTCTAACATCATTGATATACTCTCCTTTCATTTATCATCCACTGTAGTAATTTACAGCCAGAAAAGTAGCTGCAGCAAAATGTGGACTTGTGGCAGTATGTTGCTATTAATCCACTTGTGACTTATTCTGTTATTATTATCCATTATTATTATAATGTTATTATTATTATTATTAATCCACTTGTGACTGATTCTGTTAGTACTTTGCAAGGTGGAGGCATAGGCAGAAGTACAAAGGTGAGCCTGCAGCAATCCTTCCCTAAGTTTAGATGGTGTTATCAAGATAATTTGTCATCTCATGCTGTTGCACCTCGTCAACTTGGCCAGCTTTAGGCACAAGTAGGGAGCACGCAAGTGTTAACACTGTGAGATTTTTACTAACCTGTGTGAGTGTCTTCCCCTGACTACGTACAGCGTGTTTCATCAAGGATTTCATCTCTCACATCAAAAACATGTACGTTTCTATAGCACTCACAATCAAGAAAAACTGACAAGTTTATGAACTCATTAGTTTCTTCCTGGAACAAAGATGCAGACTTGTCAAGCTGTACGTGCTATGCACATGAGACCCCTGTGATCTCACACTGCAGCAGAAACCCAGGTCGTTGCAGGGCATCATCACTGCATCTCTTCCAGTCTACAGCTCCTCGCACCAGGGGCCACAGGTTGGAGCCCTGCTCTCCCAGGGAACAGTGGTCCAGACAGAAGGACAGACAATTGTGCACAACTGCAGACAAAAGGAACTGCTCTATGGGCCCACATCTGTTGCACAGCCCATGAGGCAGGAACCTGCCTGATAGCTGGCTCCAGTCAATAAATCTGTGGCATCTTGAAGAATGTGCTAAAAAAAAAAGAAAAAAAAAAAAAAAAGAAGATAATACAAATGAAAATTATTTTGCAATGAAATCATACAGAAACCTAACAAAGATTATCAAATGCTTTTGGTAAATTCATCTTTCTGAAAAACCTACACACAGAAATAGACATAAAAACACTCAATGCTTTGTCCTCTGGGGTTGAAAAGACTTCAGTCCAACAGAGGTAGCATGGATGAAGTTTCCAACCTGAATAAGTATTGCAACTTCATCACAGAAATCAGAGTTCAGAGAAATGTTGATTTTGTCCCCCAGTTTTCGTCAGCTCATCAGCACTGTCTCATGCTGATGAGTAAGGTCTGACCTGACAACACTAATTCTGTGCCAAATCCTTAGAAAACATGATGGCTGCGGACCTCATAGAATCTACCACCTCTTCAGCTTTGCAAACAAGATATAAAAATATTGCAATCGTGTCAATAGTCATATGTCAGAGAAGGTATTACATGCCATGAATACGGACCTCTGCATTCATAAACATTAACACCAGAAGGATCATCAGATTATATTGGCTAACCTCTGTTATATCACTGACTCCTGTTACATTTCATAACTTTAACTGTCTGTTGTGTCTAATGAACTGTGTTTGATGTTTAAGGTAATAATCTCCATCTAATTTTCTTTCTACAGGGAAAAATGATATTTTTGGAGAGATGGTACATCTTTATGCAAAACCAGGAAAGTCAAATGCAGATGTGAGAGCTTTAACTTACTGTGACTTGCATAAGATTCAGCGAGAAGATCTACTAGAAGTTTTGGATATGTACCCTGAATTTTCTGATCTCTTCCTCACCAATCTAGAACTGACTTTTAATCTCAGAGATGAAACTGCAAAGGTACATACAATAAGTGATTTTTTTTCTTAATATTGGGCCAAATCTGTCCCACAGTAACAACACTTAAAAATAGCAAATGAAAAACCAATGTTAGCAAAATTAACAGCTAAAAGCCTGAGGCCAAATTCTATTTTTAAAAAATATACTCACCTGATTTCTCCTACTGAAGTCAGTTAAACTCAGCAGAAGTCAATGCAATTATTCAGATGATGTTAATCTAACAGGATTTGGTTCTATATTTAAATAGTATTAAAGTTTCAGCCAGGAGGATTTTGGATGTTCTGTTAAAGGCATGGAAAATATGTTTTTTTCAGATGACCATAGCCTGGGTCACCACAAGGGGAACTTTTGACACTAAATATAATTGTACAGCCGTAAAATAAAGATAAATCAGATTATCTGGATTTTTTCTGTGTCTAACAATAGAAAATATTAATTGCCTTTCAAACATGAATTGTTAATTCTCTTATCTTGCAGTCCACCCTACCTCCTAAGAGACTAAAAATATATAAGGGACTCTTCAAATTTCACCCAGTCTTAGATTTGCAGGGATTTCTTGGTCTCTTTTTCCCGCAGTGACTCTCCTAAGTGTCCCATTTTGCACAGACTGCATCTTCAGGAAAGCAGAAAAATTACCAGTGTTTCCTTATTTCAGGCTGCTGGGGTCAGTTTGAATTGGAGAAAGGGGAGCTTTGGCCAGAAGGGGAGAGGGGAAAGGCTATTGCCCAGCTCATGCTACTGGGGCTAGAGCTTTCCCTAGAAAATTGTAGGGTACACCAGCACTGGCCACCAAACGGACTACACTGCCCACAGAGTGACTAGTTTACATTTCATTATTTCTGAGGTACTGCTGTTTTCTGGTTTCTGACTCTACTTTTAAGGAAAAACAGAGGTTTGGTGAGAAGGAATTAACATAATTTGGCTTCAATGGCCTTCTGAGAAACAAGGAGGCAAAAAACACTAAGTTTTGGGCTGTAAATGATAGGGACATCTTTGCTAATCAGATATGGATCTTTAGTTTAAAAAATTTAAACAAATACAACTTCTGACAAGAAATGTCACTTCTTTTTATGCTGAGCCTTTGTTTTAATCAAAGGTCATTCTGAAAACAAAAGACCTATTCTTTCTTTTTAAAGTCATACTTCTGTGTTTATTGAAAAGGTCATAATTATTAATTACATGTGAAATACAATACAATGAATCATCTAGTGATAAATTTAAGTTCACATATTTGAAAAATTGATTGAGAATAAATTCACATTAATAATTTTAGTCTGAGCAATTATTTTCTGCAATTACATTGTCATCAATGTTTTACCGTTATTTTTACCTTAGATCTGAGAAAATTGAAACAAAATTCCATCTTCTGTGTTGTGGTATAGAATACACAAAGAAAGTCCTCACTGCTTATGTTCCCCAGAAATTTTTCAGCTCTTTCTTACTGCTGTACCAGCCACTAAGAAAAAATTGCTAGACCTCCCAGAAAGAGAGAAGGGACGACAGTCTCACCCATGCCTCTGAGCTTGCAAAATCACAGTTTTCTCTAGCAATGCCACTTGCTTTCCACTGTCTATTGCAATCCGAAAGTCCTCCCTCAAAAGAAACAATGAGCACATTCTGATACAGATTTGTTATCTGAATAATAGGTGCTTCTGCCTCAACTTTGCTCCTGTCCTCCTATTTATGTAAAAGTGCCTTGTCTTTTCCTGCAGTTATTCTACCAGTGGGCCACCATTGAAGCACCTTACCCATCAGGTTTACAATGAAGGGAATAGAGAAAGGTGTTAACACTTCCCACTTCTTTCCCTCTGCCCTTCTCCCACATGCAAATCTGCTTACTTGAGTGGTATGGGAAACCTCACTAGCACAGGGAAGGGAAGTAGGCTGAAGCCAATGCCATGGGTATGTACACAAAGAGCATAACTGGTGTATTTGCTTTTTTGTAAATTTCTCATTTTTAAGTAGGTAGAAAGAAGAGTTACATGCGAAGTATCTATTATGAAAAAAAAAAGCACATCCATCTTCCAAAAGCTAGATAGAGAAAGACAATATTGTGCTCTGCCTTGGAAATAAGGATTTGAATGAAATGGATCCAAAAGAGAGGAAGGGAGGGTCTAGAAAGATAAAATAATGAGGGGTAAAGTGTCTGGTGCTTGTCAGCCTTATATTTATTGTTGTAAAATGTAACCTTTATAATCATTACCATGTAGTTAAATATAAATCTAATGACAATCAGTTACCACATTACTTCTTGCAATAGTATACAAGTATACAACTTGTCTGTTTGAGGTTATTTAATTTTTTTTTTCATTAATTTCTCTAAGATTACTTAAACCACATCTCTGCAATTTCAGGAAGCTGATAACACATGAACCCACGTCTTTCTGTGTAAACATATTATCAGGATATTTTTTTTTTCCTCTATCAAGTGGTGACATTGTTGGTTTTGCTCAAACTGCATGAACTTTTTAATGCTAGTATTGAGCAATACCATTAATTGGGGATGGAGAGCTTGATGCAGACTTGTGTAATGCCTTTCTTAAAGCTTGAACATGATTAACAGTCAATCACCTATTGAAAACCTACTCTTTTTAGATGGGACTAATCTGTCATTATGTTTCATATTTCATTAATCAAGTCTGACCTCGTAATAAGATCTCAAACTACTAATGATACGGATGGAGATAACTGCAAACTACGAAGACGGAAATTGTCCTTTCAAAGTGAAATAGAGAAAGGTAATTAACTTCATTTCTTACCTTAGACAGCACTGCTTCATTATTCATTGGTATTTCACTTGGTAATGCTGGGTACAGTAGGGTCCCATGTTGGCTGTTACTGTAGCAGCTCTTGAGAATCCAGCTCAGCAGCAAAAATAGTCTGTGCGTTGTCCTTTATATGGTTATACATGACCAGAGGATATCAGTTTTACCTTCCCATGGCTTCACACCTATCAGCACTAAGCTGTTCAAACACTAAGCTACCTTATTGCCATTGAGATATACACATACATATATATGTATATTATCTCTTAAACAATATCTATTTTCTGAGACACCATGTTTTAAACTGCTTGGAGAAGCTAGTCTATTGGATTATTTATTAGCAGCATTGATTTTATTCCCTCAGCAAAGTGCTTTGTTGAACTTGATGATCGGTAGTGTTTCTCCCTGGAATTAAATTTTGGTTTTAGGACACAGTAGATTCACCATAGTCAAATTTTGATTCGTATGGCAATGTGTAAATTGTTGTCCTGGCAAGAGTTCAGGTAACATTTTCTGTTCTTATGTTCACCTTAAAGGCCTTTAGGAGTAATCCTAATGAAGGAAAATTCAGAGAAACATTAAACTATGTCACCAGTATTCAGTACAGCTAAATACCAGGAACTGCAGATAGTAGCTGTGGTCAGACAGCACCAGTCAAGAAGACAGCTAAACTGATACTCACAAGATTTTTATTTTTATGTAG